GTGGTTTTTTTGAATTTTCCCCCCCCCCCCAACCCCCAATTTAATAATAATAAAAAAACTGTCTCTGTGGTTTTCTGTTAAGCGTTTCTGACCATGAGAGTACCTTTAAATTTCATAGGAATTTTAAGGAGGCAGGGGAGGTCCAAACTACCCGAGACCCCGCTTCCCCATCCCGACCAATCCGTACAGGGTCACAGACCTTGCCTTATTTTTATAGGATCATGGCATGACATGACGTCTGTCCGAACAACAGTATTATGAGGCGGACGGAAGTCCTGTCTGGCAGTTCAATATTATTGCTTCTCAAAGCCTCCAAACGCCAGTGTTACAGTTTCACCGGAACTTAATCAACGCGCATGGATCAGTTTCCGGTCTGACAATCATTACCATACTTATATATCGATTTCTCAAGAACACTAAGTACACGGAAAATTATTTACACCTACAGGTCAAATAGAAAATATATTCCTCTTAAATAATATTGATAATGGCCAGAAATGGAGTTAATAAGTCTATAAATGACGTAAACTTATCTGAAGGTGGGCGTTAATAAATTGCCGTGGGTCGGTGATTTGTAGAAATAATAACATAACAACATGGGTCGTTTTCAGGACAAATGAAATTCATGCTGGCTCTGCTTACACGTTCTAGATCCAATCAGACACAAAATAATGGCAGAACTTGATTTAATGGACATCAATACAGCAGTGATTATGCATGGGCAAATAATTGCCATGTGGTGCAATGGACGGATTTTGTAACTAATTAGTTTTATAAAACGCACTTTTTATAGAAATGATAATTGAGTGAGAAATATATTCAATTTGAAGTACAGGAAAAAAATGTATTTACCGTCATATGACGTTATTTGATAGATCTAGGTAACTATTCCGTCTTTGCATATTGCAGTTATCTTCTCTTGTGAGCAGGTATTGATTGTTACGTCATTGGTTTGTGAGACTAACGTCATCAATTTTTGAGAAAACGACGTAATGTGTCACACAAACCAATGACGTAACAATCAATTCCTGCTCACAAGAGCAGACAACTCTGCGATATGCAAAGCCGGAATAGAGAGTAATAAGCGACTCGGATGTATAATGCAGCGCTACGATCCTTAGTGGAATGTAACAGGTCATTGCTCAGCGGGAGTGAATAATCTTTAACTGAACTGTGTTGGTAAAACACCAAATTTCCAAAAGAGTATGTGACCTTAGGTTACGGGTCAAGTTAAACAGACGTGACTGGAGAAACGTCATTTCACATCGTGTAAAATCATACCATTGAAAATTTTGGTATACTGCTCAAGTGATAGAACAATATACAATGCAGTAGCGCCATTAAGTGAGGTCGCCATTGTTCGTCCACGTCCTAGAAATGTCCTACTCGCGTACTGTACAGGTCAGAGATGACGGTCTTACTTACCCTACGCTAGACATTGCAGTCTGACGTTGAGATAAATGTTATTGAGTTCACAGACAGATAGCAACGACCTGAGTCTATAGAGACAGAACAGGTTAGAAATGGCGGGCTGACCTCCAGAAACACGAGATTGTGGAAAGAAATAAAATAAAGTCTACCAGACATAAACGCTGGTCGGGAATACCACAAAGGTCGGGGGGTCCAGACGTATTTATACACCGTTCCCTTTGTGTGGGTGCCAAATCCTGAATCAGTTTTTCCTTTCCGTAATGGAAACTTCGGCGTTATCTTGTATATGGACATAAAACATCCGCCTGTAGGTAAATCATTTTTTATGAAAAGAACAAAAAATGTGTGTTGCATGTTAGAAGTAATCCAGGTCAATGTATATGTTTTAGAACGTACGCTTTAGTTGGTTAGATCGTATTGAATACATTATGATGTGATTCGTTTCCGAACAAATTAATAAAGCGCGATACATGAAGCCACTAATGAGATTGTGTAATTTTATGTGTGTCCTGCGTGGTAGCGCCACATAACAATGCACTCCACAACAGCCGGGCTCTACTTTATTCGTAAACTCGCGTAATTAACGCGTTCGGCTCCTTCACTGACGTGATGGGTTTCCATGGCCAACAACGTCATTATGTCGTTACAACCTTCAGTCAATATTGATTAGGACCGATTTATATTTATCTTTAAAGAAGAAACTGCCAGATCGGTTTTTTTCTGCAACATCAACATTTTGGCGTTCATTAAATAGATTATCTTACCCAATCAAGACATTGGATTATTAATTCTAGAAATGTACTTCTGGCAAAAAACAATCATTCGATATCTTAATGTCAATACACACATCAAAAACAGAATTAAAAGCACATAAATAGTGCGGGGGTTATTCAAAATGATTTCGGATAAAAATCAAAGTCTCTGAATAATACCATGACTAAGACAGGTGTCATTGTATCGGGGTATTTGTTCAACTGGGTTCGCTTCTGTGTTTTGACTTACCTGTCTCCAAAGAAAGTCCGGATAGTTGTTAGCGATGAAGGCGGAAACGGTCATGTGACACACCGGAAGTAAAATCCCAGTTAGGACTGCTACATACGTCATCAGCGGCATCAGAGAATAGATCATAAACACAACAAACATTACCTCCCATACACCATCCATGGGGCCCAACAGAGGGCGCGCACGTCCGGGAACATCCGGGTCAAGTTGTAAAGGAAACGCCATCACTGCGAACCCCAACAGGAACATCAACAATAGATAACAAACGATCTTAAAATAGGGCTCTTTCATGAATTTTGTATGGAGGAATATAAATATAGCTATAAATATCACACATTGGGCGGCCAGATAGATTCCGCGCACGCTCAGACCAGATAGGTACACAAATTTGAGGACGGCAAGGGTGGCCGTCAACAGGATAAGGACCCCTAGCATATAGCCGATAGCCGACTGCTGGAGCTTGAACACATAGCGCTTGTATAGCCTCTCCAAGTCGTCGTTATCAAACTTGCGACGGTTGAGGACAGTCTGGAGACCCGACTTTGTCCGATGTTTGAGCATCGGTGTCGTCTCCCTGTTGATCCGGTCGCCTTCTTCCATACCGTCAATCATGATACAGGAATTCTGGTCAGACTATATCGTTCAAAAACGATATTTCCTCGTTTTGGTCCAGATGCTCCATCATTTACCACACGCTAACAACCTGTAAAGAAAAACAAATACAGTTTGACTAGCGTGTCCGTGCTACATTGCCATTGACATTGTATATAGCTAGCGAATTAAACGTCGTAATCAACCTACCGACTTTTGTCTGCTATAGGCGGGTTTATGACAGCTGATCGCGGGTTTCTACATACAACATAATACCTTCAAAGTCTCTAATAAATATCCCGGCTTGCGCTCAAACCTTTAAGCATCTGCCAACCGTATACATGTAGTGTTCGATAGCAGCGCCAGCATAATCTTAAATCCTAACTGCTGTTACGTATACATAGAGTACTGACCGCTGTCAATTATCAACACTAGATGTGTGTATACAGGTCCATTGTTTTGAGGACCAGTAAGGATGACGATAATGCTATCCTTACTGTCAATGCCAATGTCCATCTACTTGTTCACGACGTAGAAAATGTATATAAGTTCACCTTGGCATATTGCAACGGATATTCATATTTTCACCATACAAAAGTTTTGTCATTTTCTTGAATGATATCCACATAGTTAACGTGTAAAAGTTGTTTCACAAGTTGAGGACCAGTTTTTGTGAAACACACGAGGCCTAATAGGTCTAGTATTGCCCAATTGGTATTATCTCACACACTTATAATTTGACCAGGGTCAAACATATTTAAATGGACTAAATTAAACTTGATGCTCAATTTTATTACATATGACTCTTGGTTATTAAGAAGACTGTGTGAAAAAAAGTAAACACATCCGGCTCCTGTGGTATTAAAAGTGGACCAAGGTCATTAACTTGGACGAACTTCCCTAGGCCTATTAGTTATTGAGAAGGAGTTGTTTAAACATTTTAACACATTTGACCCCTGTTACAACATTCATTTCACAAACTTGAAACCCTTTATTCAAGCCCGTTACAGTCCAATAGCATCACACTATGTCTTTTTATTATTCAGAAGAGGTTGGTTTACATTTTAGACATTTCGCTCATTTGACCTTGAACATTGGCGAATGTAACTTCTTTGAACAAACTTGGTTATCCTTCATCCAGTCATGCTGCTGGTCAAACATCATCACCTCATTAGGCGTTTTTGGTTATTGGGATGTTGTTTAAATGATTTTAACACAGTTGATAACTGTTTTCCTGAAAACGAGTCAAGATAATTCATTTGGATAATCGATGGTACATGTAGCCCTTCATCCCAGCGTGGTATTTGCCAGATACATGGTATTATTGAACTGTAGTTTTTGCGTACTGAGATTTGAGTTATTTAAAGATTTTATCACGTTTGGCCCCTATGATCTTGAAAGTTGGCAAATGTAACTCATTTGAACAAACTTGGAAGCCCTTCATCGCAACATGCTACTGGTCAAATATCCTCACCGCAGGCGTTTGAGTCATTTAGAAGAAGTCTTTTGAGTGGAAAAGTGCACGGTGGACGAAGGACAAACGACGAGACGTCATGGCTTTAGTTCACAGGCTGCCAGGTGAGCTAATAGGTAACATTTCTACAGTTGACGTCTGCTATCCGGTCTGTGTATTACCTTTTTATACTTCGTCTCATAGAAAACAACAGGAGCACACAGACGAAATGCCTTGGATTAACTACTGAGGTACATTAATGCACCCAGTGTGTTCACTTCAGTGAGTTCTAACGATATGACGTAGACGTATTATAAACCATGAACTCGAGTACAGACACGTAAAAGATGTACGTACAAATATTTCATACATGCCTTTTATCACTGTTCATATCGCGCTTCAACACTACAGAACGGCAGCACCACATAACAAATTATCTAATTTGGAACGTTTCATGCAGGAAATACTGTACGGGAGATTTTTACTGTGAGATAGCGGGTCTGTGACGCAGCTTTCGATTCCTCTCTAATATCAAGTGGAACCAATCTTTCTAGTCAAAATACACCGAATATAAACCAATCAATGTGCTCAGCAAACATTTATTACAAGAAAACCGTTTTTATACGTTAGGTAGGTAGCACGTGCTGTTGGAGTACCAGCTACTCTTCATTACGGACAGTTGTACAATCCACTAGCTCGTTCTCGTGTAACAATCCACAAGCTTGTTCTCGTATAACAATCCACTAGCTCGTTCTCGTGTAACAATCCACTAGCTCGTTCTCGTATAACAATCCACTAGCTTGCTCTCCTATAACAATCCACTAGATCGTTCTCTTATAACAATTCACTAGCTTGTTCTCGTATAACAATCCACTAGCTTGTTCTCGTATAACAATCCACTAGCTTGTTCTCGTGTAACAATCCACTAGCTCGTTCTTGTGTAACAATCCACTAGCTCGTTATCGTATAACAATCCACTAACTCGTTCTCGTGTAACAATCTACAAGCTCGTTCTCGTATAACAATCCACTAGCTTGTTTTCGTATAACAATCCACTAGCTCGTTCTCGTGTAACAATCCACTAACTCGTTCTCGTATAACAATCCACTAGCTCGTTCTCGTATAACAATCCACTAGCTCGTTCTCGTACAACAATAGAAATCCTCAAACATTCCCGAATGATGGACAAAGGTTTCCCTCATTTCCAACACTAAATTACAATACAGCAAGTTCGTGTTGATACTTAAAGTTTAACTAAGATGATAACTCGATAGTTGGCCTTTGATTTTTATCGTTTTTGAATTATAAACAAGGGATTTGATAGGATGGCTATTTTTGGGAATTTTTTGATGAAAAAATGTAATATGCAACATTTGTCTCCAACATCGACACACAGACCAGTTCAGCGAGACATTTTAGAAATCGAGATTAACTGAAACGTACCCTCAGTATAATTATCGGAAGCACGTTACATCAGTGACTAAATGTGTTTGTCTTTAGTGAACAAAAAATACACAGATCGATTGTAGCGTCATCAGAATCCCTTTGTCGTTAGGGACGACATCCACTTCCGGTGTGAAGAGCTGCTCTGTGCATGCAACGTTAACGACGCCATTTCCGGTGCAATGGCAATTACGCTGTTTCAGGTTGCTGTCAAACTGATTATTGTTCTAAAATAAACAGAAACGTTTATTAGATACCTAACACCGGCTATTTCGTGGTCGTGGAGATGTACACTAGTAGCGGTACGATGCTTCACTAGTAGGAACTTATAAAGCATGTTTTCAAATAATTGCGCCTACGTTCAGATAATAAAAGATGGGAACAATTAATTAAAAGAACGTTCAATTCCGCCTGAAGATACATTATATACTCAATGCAATTCAAGATGGGTACAAACATTCACGTCTGTCTTAATTTACTTAAAGATGGGTAGAGATTTGTATAATTGAATTTGACCTATATTCTAATAAATTGAAGTTAGGTATAAACTCAAATGAATTCAAAAATTTTCATTGAGTTTCACCTATCTTCAATTGAATCAATCAACTGCTATGCTACATCGGGAGTGGTAAAGTGTTTCCTTCACTTATGCTATATAGTACATGGGGCTCACGTCCTCGGTATGAAACCTTTTACATTTTATCTGTCGAGTCAAGTTCACAGGGCTTTGCTCGATTTGCCATTCCATTGCAATCATCTGATGACTAATCAGACGCAGAGGAAGGGTGTGGGGAGGAAAGGTGTGGGGAGGGGGTGGTGGTAACATTAGTGAGGGGTTGAAATATCATCACCTCCCGTATTGTGTGTTTTTATATCATACAACACGTAATCTAGCGATATCTGCTATACTCACGAATGTTTTATCAGTAAAAACGATAGCAAGACACCAGCCAACTCCATTCGATATAAAAGTCTGAGAATAAGATGGCGTTGCAAACGAAACAAATTCTTTCGTAAATGTTTGAATTCATATATATCTAACAATACCTTGTAACGTCTCATACTAACGACGTCTCATACTAACGACTTCGTCCTCCGATATCTAACTGTGCCTGTATATTTTTTTCAATTGAAAATATGGCAGCAGAAGTAAAGCACGCAAGAAATACGAGTCAAACCTGTAATTTTGGACACGAGAAGTTGTCTGAATTTATCATACTTTCAGATGATTATGTAATATCTTTGAGTTTGAATTGATCTTGGAATGGTTCTGACATATAGTTATATCTATTTGACATCATTGACCTTGGAAAAATGGAACACAAATTCATTCAAGTTTTCATACATTCAAATTCCTTCAAAAATGATGTCGGTACATTTCTCTAAATAGAAACGATGACATTGACCTTGGCATCTCGCAACACAAACTCATCCGAAGTATTCACATACTTGACCAGTGATCATGATTATATATGATGTTTGATCAAGATCCTTTCAGAAATGAAGTCGCGAAGGCAATGACAAACATGGCGTACCAATGGAACATCATATCCCCTACGGCCTTGTCACAAAGGGATGGTAAAAGGTGCACTGTATTATATGGAATGCCTGGTGCCGATATTCTGATACATGGGCGAGGTAGATACCGATACACAATATCTTGGGGTTACAGATCGAGACACACACAGTGTCTAGAACCGATACTGACATTCACGTCTCTACAATAGAACCGGTACTGACATTCACGTCTCTACAATCTATTATGATATCTAAAAAAACAGCTGATCTGGCAATATTTCTTTGTTTTTATAAACTTTAACCACATTAGCACATATCACGTCATCCACCTACAAAACAGATATGTCCCCAATCTTTTGTGTTTTATGCAGGCTACTTCTTCCGATCTAGACGGCGATCTACATATCTGCCCTTGTTACCTTGTATTAAACGTGACTTATTATTGACGAGAACTAGGTCACGGTGATCTATCAAAACGGAATATAGCAGCTTCCGGTTGATGTAATATCCACGAAGACGCATCACTTCCCGAGAAATAAAAAGTCAACCTGATTGAGCATGTGCACACAAATCACTAAAGACTGGAAGCAGATAGGATCAAATCGTGGGTTTAATGGGGTGTTATGAAGTAGTAGTACCTGCTGTTACCGACAGCTGGCGCTGCGTACAACAAACACTGTAGCATATACACGTACAGTGAACACATGTACAGGGTGGTCTTAACCTGCTATCAAACAGAACGTCGTGGTATAAAACACATGTTTCGGTACTACGTGATGGCGTCCTCGGTGTAGGCCCAGCACGTGTTATATATCCAGGTAATGGGTGACCACATATACTCCTGTCCATTATAAAGACAGTTCTGCCCTGTATATTTTAAGTACTGATTTATCGTGGTGAGGACTGTTTCGTGTTAAGACATTAACGTATGTTAATAGTGAAATTATCACTTTGACGTTGATTAATGTCATCAATCATAAAACTCATTATAGGATTGTGTGTGTTATAGACATTAACGAATTCTCCGTAATAACACGATAATTAATCCATCTCGTAGGCTCAAATATTTGTATAACACACGACAACGTTTTAGAAAAGCAATGTCACAAATTTCCTGTTAGTACTTTCTATAGAAAAATTAGTATTCACGTATTATTTATGAGATGTGTCAAAGTAAATGAACTGTAAATAACACAACCTACCTAGATCTAGTGACGTCACAAATCATATATCAACCCTACTCCACCTACCTAGATCTAGTGACGTCACAAATCACATATCAACCCTACTTCACCAACCTAGATCTAGTGACGTCACAAACCATATATCAACCCTTCTTCACCAACCTAGATCTAGTGACGTCACAAATCATATATCAACCCTACCTCACCAATCTAGATCTAGTGACGTCACAAATCACATATCAACCCTACTTCACCAATCTAGATCTGGTGACGTCACAAATCACATATCAACCCTACTTCACCAACCTAGATCTAGTGACGTCACAAATCATATATCAACCCTACTTCACCAACCTAGATCTAGTGACGTCACAAATCACATATCAACCCTATTTCACCAATCTAGATCTGTTGACGTCACAAAACACATTATATATCTCATCCCTATTTTTCCAACCTAGATCTTGTGAAGTCTCAAATCACATTTCAACCCTACTTTACCATACCACTTATTAATATAACCCCACCTTAACCATACCTTCATCTAGTGACATAACAAATCACATTTCAACCCTACTTTACCATACCACTTAGTAATATAACCCCACCTTAACCATACCCACATCTAGTGACATAACAAATCACATTTCAACCCTACTTTACCATACCACTTATTAATATAACCCCACCTTAACCATACCTACATCTAGTGACATAACAAATCACATTTCAACCCTACTTTACCATACCACTTATTAATATAACCCCACCTTAACCATACCTACATCTAGTGACATAACAAATCACATTTCAACCCTACTTTACCATACCACTTATTAATATAACCCCACCTTAACCATACCTACATCTAGTGACATAACAAATCACATTTCAACCCTACTTTACCATACCACTTATTAATATAACCCCACCTTAACCATACCTACATCTAGTGACATAACAAATCACATTTCAACCCTACTTTACCATACCACTTATTAATATAACCCCACCTTAACCATACCTACATCTAGTGACATAACAAATCACATTTCAACCCTACTTTACCATACCACTTATTAATATAACCCCACCTTAACCATACCTACATCTAGTGACATAACAAATCACATTTCAACCCTACTTTACCATACCACTTATTAATATAACCCCACCTTAACCATACCTACATCTAGTGACATAACAAATCCCATTTCAACCCTACTTTACCATACCACTTAGTAATATAACCCCACCTTAACCATACCTACATCTAGTGACGTCACAAATAAGAATTCATCACGTGTCTTCACCAATGATTGGATATAGTGACGTCATGAATCACTAATTCATAGTTACCAAAACATACTAAAATCTAGTGACATCACAAATCACCATTTAATCCCATCTACAACTTTCCCAGGTCAAGTGACGTCACAAGTAACTTTTTCATCCCTATCTCAATGACCTAGATCTAGTGACGTCACATGTCATCATTATCATCCTTACAACTCATTATAAAACGTCACAAAGTACCATGCCACGCCACACCAAAGCCAAAGGAGCGCCCCCCCCCCCCTCACTCCCGCCCCCCGTTACTCTTTACTTTGTCCACCCTAAAACCATTGACACACTTCAATTAAAGGAAATCGCGCGATAGTCTAACCAATTAAGTGACATACAATATTAAATCGTTTTAAAACAGTCATCTAATGACCATTAGCTAAATCACGAAATTGGTCTCTTTGTTGCGTTAAAATAAGGATATCGCTATGGCGGGTACGTATAGCGGACGTCGCTTTAGCGAACTATTATAAGCCGTCATAGTTTATGACGTCACAACATATACTTCAACTAAACTCTTAGAAGAGATGAAAGTACTAAAGACTCGTTGTTGGGAATTTTTCTTTTTTTTAATATATATATATATATATATCAACAGTATTTACTGCATGCACCTTTGCTTCACCAATTGTTTTGAAGAAAAACGCAGTAACATTGTCTGATTCTAATTAACAAGGACCTATAATTGAATTATAACAAGAATGTAAACACATCGATGCTCTGTATTATACACGTAAGTAATTTGAACACATGGAAGTTCTGTGTAACGATCAGTTTCTATTTCCCACAGCCTGTCGTTATTACATGTACAGTCAGCACGATCCAGCTGAACTGTTCAGCATACATTTCCTCACAGAAATGTCCTTCATATTTGTCAGCCATGTAATATAAAAGAAACAATTTAATGTCGAAGATGGACATTTAAACTTCATTTAATATCGATATTTACCTTGCCCCTCGCGGTCGTCACCTTATATACCGTCACATTGTCACCAATCACGTGGCTGTCTAACACTAGAACCACTTTGCTAGGCATTGTGTGCAAACACATACAGAATTTGAAATGTTCATTCATAAAATTCACCGACAGCTTTGATCCGGGAGGTGTCTGTTATAACGCATCAATGGTTCCCTAAATACTCGCCTGGCCTCGCTCTCCTATTCTCGTGACTGCGATACCGCTATACTGAAGCGGTAAGACTACAGGAAATAGGTTCTGTGAATTTCACGTGCATAAAAGATACGTTGTGTCTGCAGTTCAACAAAAAACATTAACAGAGAGTTGATAAATCTGTTGTCAGGTCGACACCACAACAGCACTATAGTATCATACGGTAGCTGAAACTGATGCTTTGTCCAGAAACTCCACAAGTGTTGCTAAATGGAATTAGCTATCTAAGTCCGCTGTTGAACTGAACATACTGGTTCTACATGTGTAACCGATCAGTGTGAAGTGTATCAGTTCTAACAAAAAGTTCCTTAATCTAAGTCGTGTCCTGGTATTCCGTCAATGATATATCAAGTAACATTTGCTGACTTTCCAAAGCCTTCACTTCTAACAGGAACATTATGTTAAAAGCTGTCGACGTAATTCTACAAAACTATTACAATATGAGGAAAACCCTATTGTTTTCCAGGTGACTTACACTGACTAAGGTCTACTAAGTATCTCCACTTACCCGTTCTCATTGGTGTTGTATTATAATCCGTAGTCCAGTACTGTTGTGGGTGAATAGTACGGACCTCAGCACATTATTTCTGCTTTACCATAACACAAACACTGACGGGTTTACTTTGTAAATAACACCGTCAACAAAGTCGACATTTTCTCCATGCTTTGATCCCTGTGTTCCCCGAACCGTCCGATAGGTATTTACAAAGAATGTATGTGAACCAGGCAGATAAATACAGCACACGGCACCTCTAGCATGTGTGTACGCCAAGCTACATCTTACTTTCACAACACAACTTTGCAAGTCGCAGCAATTTTTCCTCTGCCGTTCAAGAAATAAAACTTATTCAAAGTAGAAATCAATGGTCACATTGTGTTGTGAGACTATTATTAGCTGTCCGCGAGGGGAGTTTCCACGTGTAGCGGGACCATAACACAGCGACACATGTCCCGGAGAGGGGCAACCAACATCTACACAATACAGATTTAAATTACACAGATGGGGTCGTTGTGAGTCATACCAGCGTAAACAAACAGGGGAAAGAAGGGGGGCAGCCGGTACGGTGGGGCTACCGTTGTCACACCGGCAAATCTCATTAGGGCCTAAGCGGTCCCGGAGCGAGGCTGCTATGGTCAGCCGCCCATGGCAACATCTGCACGAGGTAACCAATGCAAGGGTAGTGTCTGACACGGCGACATGGTCAACTGTGGCTGGGCAGATCTCGTGTAACACGCTTCGCTGACGATTCTGTCCATCACAATTATCAGTCACTCTTTCAACAAAAGGCGAGTCCTAACCGTTATCAAGCAATTTTGTATACGGAATTCGTGATAAAAGCGGAAACTAATACGCACGCTGATAAAAAGCTGATAATAAAAGCTAATAATCCAGACGATGGTATCGCGAAGGCTCGCAGCACAAAACGCCTTATATCTCCTAGCCACTTGTTAAAAAATCTCCTTTATTTCTGTGTCTATATTCACGGCATTGTCCCGCCGGTGTGAACAACTTATCGGTCAATAGGAGATGTGGTAGCTGAATCCTGCTGAGAAATGGGGGATTGCTAAGTTCCTATCCAATACTGAATGGTTAGTCAACTTCTGGTCGTCACAATATCTGTCCGGGGAAACCCTACTCACGGTGTTTATATAGACACATACCTACATCATAGATTAAAACTGAAGGAACATTTCCCTAACACAATAATATCACGGAGCTAGATCTATCTTAAATTCCCTTGGTAATACGTACCCCTGGGGCATTGTCTATTGATATGATGTAATTTTCTTACCCCTGGCCTAAACAATTACTTGTAGACTGGACGAATAACAGATAGGATCTAGCTATTACGTAACAGTTGTAATGGACATGTACCAAACGTCTCCTTAAAATTAGGCAATCTCCGGGTTGTCTTTGTAACAGTCACTGTCCGAGACTTGACAACAAATGCTTGAGTTAAGGGAGGGGAATAATTTGTATTTCCATAGAGTTAAACTTTCCTCTGGTCCCACCAGGTTTAATAATCTGATATAAGGGTTTCGTGATGAAGTTAACACATAGAGCAATATAACGTATATATCTACTGCACCCCAGTGGTCAAGTACCAGAGGGATAACCACAGTATGTGACTGAAACACCACACAGGTGGTCAGCTGGTGGTCAGTTGTAGACCGAGGTCCCAAATGAATTCTGTACAACATCAACAAAACAGCGAACATGTTATTGGGCATTTGTGTCGATAGTAACATAAAACCATTTATGAGAAAACAATTCTGCCCTGTGACAAGTGTGCCCTGTGACAATTCTGCCCTGTGACAAGTGTGCCCTGTGACAAGTGTGCCCTGTGACAAGTGTGCTTTGTAGTTTGCTATCAATGAACTGTGCCTACAGGCTTAGCTCCGGTGCTATATAAATACATTTTGTCGATACTTTTTTCCTTTTAAACAATTATGCTCTTCCTCCGTATTATGAATAAATTGTGTCTCTGATTTTTTCCCCCTTTCTGACAAATATACGGGGCCTCTATTTAATACAAAACGTGGTCGAATGACGCAGTTGATAGCATACTTGCCTTTTACAAAGGCGGCCGGAGTTCGATTCCCCGATCGGACGTGACAGATATATATGATGGGGTAACCTGCCCGACCACGTGGGTTTTTTCCGGCCACTCCGGTTTCCTCCCATAGTAACACCGTGCTTACTTCCGGGCCAGCAAGAGTGATTAGTATAAGTTGTAAAAACTTGTCATAATTGTTGTAAAATAAATAAAGTTGATATTTATATATAAAACGTGTCTTGCTACTGTGCTGCAAACAGGTTGTGATCCTCCCTTGTGCTATGTATGCCCTTGTGAGCTGCCCTTGTGCACCGCCATTTTGGCCGCCCTTGTGCTATGTATGCCCTTGTGAGCTGCCCTTGTGCACCGCCATTTTGGAGGCTCTTGTGACACGCTTTAAACAAAACAATACGTACGAGGATATGGTCATCACCGGATGTAAAGACTGACCAGTTGTGCGGTTGTAAAAGTGTAAACACTGACCAGTACAACTAATTACCATGCAGCCAATTAGCACGTGTTACAGAAGAGATAACGATAACTAATTCTGTACAGTATTGTGGTGAAACTGACCTCAACCACACCAGATGGTAACCATTAACGCTGTAACACAGTCTAAATATAGGACCATCGTCCTCAAACGCTGTATAACATAATAAGTAAGAAAATATATATCGACTGTATTTTGGTCTTGTTCGTTATTAAAACAAATGAACAGTTGTTCCTTATATCTGAGAATCTTTGAAGAAAACATTTTCTTCGCCATAAAATTGTAAGATGTAAGATTCAAATTTACTCAAATTTTAACGACTTTCTTGAAGTTTCAATATACAAAAAATGTACATCATCAATATAATACATGAACATGAACTGTGTCTCTATAGCTAGCTGATATATTTGATATTACAAAACAAAAAACATTTCTTATTACAATATATCCCCTGACCTTAGCCCATGTCATGTATTACCCACAAACAATAGGGGCCTGCTAATTCGTAACAAATATATTTGGACATAAACTAAGGTGGTTAGAGTAATTTTACACGTATTGGGGGTTTATATCAACTTTCGGTAACAATACCACTCCAATGATGTTCATAGTAATTTTACTCATTATATAGCTGTAACAAATTCTCAGGTTCCTGTGTGTGCCACAAACCATAGTTTCCACTGCGATGCCCAGTAATATTCACAAACTATACCTTTATAATTACCGATCTACACCCTCCGTGTGTTACTGATGTTTATAATGACAGGGCCAAACACCAACTCTGATTTATAGGTCGTCAGTTCACGGTGGACTTGTACTGTACACTGCGGACAGATAGCATCTGTTTTCCTGTCAACTCAACAGCTATAGAACTATAGCTGAATATTGTGTGTTCGGAATTACTAATTGGACATATAAGTATATTTATTAATATTAGGTGATAAAATACAGGTAAGTATTAATACTTGGTCGTAAAAATTGGGATATCAGAAATAAAGTGCCATGTAGACATCAGCCTACAGGTATAATGGCAGTCGGTCAGTCACACCGGCACGACACCATGTTGGCTTACACACACAGGTAAAGCCTAAAAAAATACCTGCTGACGTGTTCATTGTTTAGCAAGATATGCCACAGTCTATTTTTCTTTATTTCGTCAGTTTCCGGGGAATTCAAAAGGAACACAAACAAACAGTTCTTACACGACCAGGGTCGGGGTGATAAACACGTTATCCTTTTACCAGAAATAAGTCCTTCGGAGGGACATGGAACCACGGGGTGGCAGGTAGTTCAATGGGGTTCCTGTACACACCAAACCCTTCATTAGAACGATCACAGCACAATGATTGGGTAGGTATGTGAGTTGCATTAAAGTCGGTAATTCGAGTGTGGAATTGACTCCAACAGAGGGAAACCCTAATTTGACGATACCTTATTTTATATACATGTATGTCCTAATTCAAGCGTGTACCGTAGGTTTGTGTGCGGACTTTGGTTTGACTTGATTTAATTGCTAGCTTCGTCTAGGAGAGTTCTTTAGGTGATCATACATACGTGTATGCATATAGTATATATAACAAGAAGCCAAACAAGGAAAACCATTTTTACTGTACAATATGGCCGTTATGTCTATTTAGGGCTCGTCTATTGAACGTAAAGACAAAATAATGAACTTACGTAGAAAACAGCGTAATGGGTCTATGTTTGGTGAAAGTTACAAACTACAGAGGGGCCGCGGTGGTCAAGTGGTTCAGTTCAATTCAGTTTATTCATAAGCAGTACAGTTTATAGATAAAGCAGTGGTGGAGGGCTAGTGGTAGCAGTGGTGGAGGGCTAGTGGTAGCAGTGGTGGAGGCGTAGTGGTAGCAGTGGTGGAGGGGGGCTAGTGGTAGCAGTGGTGGAGGGCTAGTGGTAACAGTGGTGGAGGGCTAGTGGTAGCATTGGTGGAGGGCTAGTGATAGCAGTGGTGGAGGGGGGCTAGTGGTAGCAGTGGGGGAGGGCTAGTGATAGCAGTGGGGGAGGGCTAGTGGTAACAGTGGTGGAGGGCTATTGGTAGCAGTGGTGGAGGGCTAGGGATAGCAGTGGTGGAGTGCTAGTGATAGCAGTGGTGGAGGGCTAGTGGTAGCAGCGGTTGAGGGCTAGTGGTAGCAGTGGTGGAGGGCTAGGGGTTGCAGTGGGGGAGGGCTAGTGATAGCAGTGGGGGAGGGCTAGTGGTAACAGTGGTGGAGGGCTAGTGGTAGCAGCGGTGGAGGGCTAGTGGTAGCAGTGGTGGAGGGGTAGTGGTAGCAGTGGTGGAGGCGTAGTGGTGGCAGTGGTGGAGGGGGGCTAGTGGTAGCAGTGGGGGAGGGCTAGTGATAGCAGTGGTGGAGGGCTAGTGGTTGCAGTGGTGGAGGGCTAGTGATAGCGGTGGTGGAGGGCTAGTGGTAGCAGTGGTGGAGTGCTAGTGGTAGCAGTGGTGGAGGGCTAGTGGTAGTAGTGGTGGAGGGCTAGTGGTAGCAGTGGTGGAGTGCTAGTGGTAGCAGTGGTGGAGGGCTAGTGGTAGTAGTGGTGGAGGGCTAGTGGTAGCAGTGGTGGAGTGCTAGTGGTAGCAGTGGTGGAGGGCTAGTGGTAGTAGTGGTGGAGGGCTAGTGGTAGCAGTGGTGGTGGGCTTGTGGTAGCAGTGGTGGAGGGCTAGTGGTAGCAGCGCTTGAGGGCTAGTGGTAGCAGTGGTGGAGGGCTAGGGATAGCAGTGGTGGAGTGCTAGTGATAGCAGTGGTGGAGGGCTAGTGATAGCAGTTGTGGAGGGCTAGTGATAGCAGTGGTGGAGGGCTAGGGATAGCAGTGGTGGAGTGCTAGTGATAGCAGTGGTGGAGGGCTAGTGGTAGCAGTGGTGGATGGCTAGTGGTAGCAGTGGTGGAGGGCTAGTGATAGTAGTGGTGGAGGGCTAGTGGTAACAGTGGTGGAGGGCTAGTGGTAGCAGCGGTGGAGGGCTAGTGGTAGCAGTGGTGGAGGGGGGCTAGTGGTAGCAGTGGTGGAGGGCTAGCGGTAGCAGTGGTGGAGGGCTAGTGGTAGCAGCGCTTGAGGGCTAGCGGTAGCAGTGGTGGAGGGCTAGTGGTAGCAGCGGTGGAGGGCTAGTGGTAGCAGTGGTGGAGGGCTAGGGATAGCAGTGGTGGAGTGCTAGTGATAGCAGTGGTGGAGGGCTAGTGGTAGCAG